GAAATCATTTAATCCAATTTATTAACGAATGTAAAAAGAAGGAATTGTACTATTTAAAAATAAATTTATAATAGAAAAACAAGAGATGGACTTTCTTGAATTATCAATAGATAAAAGAGGGATAAAATTACAAACTCATATATTCAAAAAGATAGAAAGTTTTCCAGATAAATTAGAATCCAAAGAACAAATACAAAAATTCTTAAGATGTTTAAATTATGCAGAAGGATTTATTGAAAATCTTTCTAAGAAAAGACATAAAATCCAAGTTTTACTTAAAAAACAAATACTAAAGGATGGAATGAAGAACATACAAAAATAGTTAAATCATTAAAAGAAGAATGCAGAAATTTACCAAAATTAAGATTACCAGATGAAAAAGATAATTTGATTGTTAATACTGATGCCTCAGATAAATATTGGGCAGCAATATTAAAAACAGATCTAAATGAAATTTGTAGATACTCAAGTGGAACATTTAACCAAGTAGAAATAAATTATACTACTCATGAGAAAGAATTACTAGCAATTATTAGAGGAATAAAAAAGTTTTCATTATTTTTATTGTCTAAAAAATTTATTGTTGAAATTGATAATTCTCAAGTTGCAGGATTAGTCAGGAATAAACTACCATCAGAACCCCAATATAGAAGACTCCATAGATGGTAAGCTTATTTAGCATTTTATAATTTTGATATAGTCCATATTAAAGGAGTTAATAATTTTCTTGTAAATTTTCTCAACAGAAATATAGAATTTGCTGATGGATAAAGACAAGGTCGTGGAATTATATCAATCTATCGTACATATACAAAAGAGGACAAATTTTCTTAGAGAATAATCCGAAGATATAAACTCTGGAGCAACCCAGATCTCAGAGATGTTCAACGCAAATATAAAAATATTGTTGAATATCACTACTGAGCATCATAAATATGCCATAGAACTCAAAAATCAAGTTGATGCTATTGCAGCACAACTAAAAGATATATTGTCTGAGACAGATATACCAAAAAGTTGAGAAATGAGTTTTCCAAATCAACATCAAATAGGGACAGTTGGAAGCAGCAGTGGACCCAGACGTGACAACATACCAACTGATAATAAAGGAGATTCCATTTCTGTATCATCAACCAATAAAACTATAATACATGGAGATAAAAGAGATACCAAAATAATCAACATCATAGACCAAGAAGATAAAATCCCTTTAGATCCAAAAGAAGAAAAATATGCCGAAATAGTCAAAATCTCTTATGAAATAAAAATGAGTGATTCATATTTTATTTCTCCGAAAAATAATGTTTACCCCAGAATAACAGCCATGGAAGGAGGTGACCCTTCATTTATAAAAATTATGGCAGACTATGAATTCATGGATTTGATATATCCAAGAAAAGATTTTATTGAAATTTTGAAATTTGATGATATATTTATTAAAAAAGTATCCAGATTTGCCAGTGGAAGAAAAATATATTTCAAATTATATTCAATAAGTTCAAAATATGATGGAGTTGTTTACTATCCAGTTGAACGCATAATCTCAATTGGATATGTTGCAATCAATTTTCAAATTTATGTTACAGAGAATAATAGAAAAGTCCCAACAGTGACAAAACCATGGATCAGACATAGAAGAGCACTTGGAATTAAAGACATTTACAACATTGTCAAAAATTTGTTTGATAAAAAATTCTCATGCTTGTGCCAATATGAAAATTGGATGCTGGTATCCAATGGAGGATAGGCAAAATCAGAAATTTTAAAAGATTATATTACAAGATTTGATATACATCAATTTTCAGGATGTCCTACCATTATAAAATCCTGCCAGTTAAGGAAGTGCCCCAACTGCATGTGAAGAAAAGAAGAGGACAATTATATAGCACCTTTGACAAAGGTGTACAGTTGCATGTGAAGACATTGAAGATAAGAGAAATAATAGAAAAAGATGCTCTTTGGATAAAAAGTTGAAACATGTAGGCCCAATGAGGAAAATAATAGAGAGGCAAGTGTGCCTTGTTGATGTACTCAATGATGTAATAGAGTATCATAAACTTGTATAAATAGAGACATTGCCATATAGAAAAGATCATCTCATCCTATCTTGAAATCTCGAATTGTAAGCAATAGTTACTCAAAAACCCCATTCCCAGTTTGAAAAATCAGTTTTTCTAGAAATCCCTTTGTATCAAATAGAAGTCTTGTATAAATTCTGATAGAAATAAAACTCTAATATTTTTTTTATATGAATACGAGTTTCTAAATCTTTATTCCTATAGATTCTTGATAGATCTGATAAAAAAGTTTCCTTCTTATTTTAGCAAAAAGAAAGTTTTTTTTAACAGAAGTCTAGGATTTCATTCTTTGGAAGTTGATCCAGTGAGAGCAAGTAGTTGAAACAGTAACAATTCCATGAAGGTAGAAGGCCGTTGAAGGAAGCAATTTACAGATTCAGAGTTCGAAGGTCACTCGGTTCTAAGAATACAAGTCCACATCAAATCTAAGGTAAAACTATTAAACTTTTGCTAAAATTAGAATGAATCTTTTTAAGATCTTAAAGAATCGTAGGGATCAATTGCATGATTTGATGATCATCTAAATGCCAGGATATACAATTAAAGAATTGGATAATTTATTAGAAAGAATGTTAGAAGCAATAAAAAATATGTATTCTCAATTATAAAATATGAATGCATCTTCTGAAAAATATAATATATTAAATAATAAATGTGAACAATATATAATAAATGTGAACAATATGTTGCAGATTATTTCAATTTATTAAATCATAGAATGAAATTATATTCAAATATTCGAAACAGGGAAAATATAAGATAGAATGTTTAAAAAATTAAGATATATATTGCAATATAGAAAGAATCTTTTCATTAATGATAATATAGACCTTTCAACAAAAAAGAATAATAATAGGCCAAATAGAAAAATCTCTCTAAAATTTTTTCACTGAGGCCAGAAAGAAGGCATTTGAAATCGGTAGCAAATCTTACTCAAATCGACGTCGTATGTCATGAGCTTCATAACTTGGGAGCAAAGGTGTGTTTTAGATACAGACTTCTAGAGAGAGAGAGAGTTAGAGAAGAATGAGCGTGGCTTTAGCATCATACCTGGCTCGACAAGCAGCACAGAAGAAGAGGGTGAGAATCCTCTACGGAGGGTCACTCTTAATTGGCCCCTTCATCGCCATCTCTTCTATCCCGATGTAATTTTTTTGTACCCTCGATGTTAGGATTTGTTACGTTAATGCGATCTTAACACATTTCATTCGATGGATACGTATATATTTATATATGTATTACATGTATTATATGCATTTGTAGATTGATAGTAACATAGGCCTTTGCATTTCTTGTGTGTTTTAGGCCGATGCCCTCAGAGAGAAATTCGAAGCCAACAGAAACTGTAAGTATTATGCCCTAGGTCCAATCAATTTTGGACATAAATACTTTTGATATACATTTAATATAATTTAATGGCAGATCATTATTTAATTAATAATTAATTAAATAAATAATAGAGTCTGTAGATTCAAATTTTCGTAATTTATTAATCACAAGAAGTTGTGATTGTGAAATACTAATTACATCTGATTGAATCTTAAATCATTCATGGTCGTAAGTAATAACGAGATGCGGATATCGTTATTACGGATAGACCATCACGTGTGGCATTTCTTACTTATGAAGTAAGTAGCTGATCTCACAAGCTAAAGTGTGGTGACACTTAAATGAACATGTGGATGTTTTGTTATAGAACAAAATATTGGAGACCCACCGAAAGATTCCACATGGATAACTATCTGAGTGTCAGTGGTCAATCTCTAACGTTCGGTAGTGGAATTAATTCTTTGACTTGAGGTCGCCATACCTTATATGAGGACAGTTATACTTTGGCGCTGTTGGATGTTGCTCTACAAAGGGCCGCTAATATGACATCGTTTGGGTACATCAAGAATCGTTTGAAGGTTGTGATTGATCAATAAAGGATTCATCATGTTTAGATAGTAGGAGATTATGACCTGCGTTTCATTCAATTAAGTCGATGATGAAATCCTTGGCCAAGGTATACTCGTAAGTCAAAAAGAAGTTTTCGACTTATATTGACTTAATAATGGAGTGAAAGATATGATCGATAATCGAGATTGACACACTTTCATATCTAGTAATTGATCGGATCATATTGACGAAGGGATTATGATTTCACGATAAACGAACGAGTTTGATTTTGTCATACCACGTGACATTTTTCGTTACATGTATTGTCCTGACATATTGTTAGATGTCAATTTGGGACAATGAGTGTGATTGGTGATAAATTAAAAGGGTGTTTTAATTTATCAATTTTGATTAGATCAAAATAATATATTTCACGGCGTTAGACATCGTGATCGGGAACCTGATGGGTCACACACAAAAGAGAATTGGAAGATTGCAATTCGTCAATTAATTAATTTAACAATCGTTGGATAAATTAATTAATTGGATTGGTTATTTATATGCCCGAATTAATTAATTGGATTAATTAATTCACGAACCGAATTTAATTAAATGAATTAATTAAATATTGGATTGGACTGGGCCAGGCCCGTTTGAGCCTATATAAATATATGGCTAGGGTTTTCAATCCATATGATTTTTCCTCATAATTATTCTTGCTAGCACAAGAAGAAAAATCCTGGTAGCTACAATCTTGTTCTCTGTGTAGATCACCGTTGGAGGTTGAACAATTGGACAACTGTGGGTGGCGAATCAAGATTACTGGAACGAAAAAAAAATCAAAAGGTTTGTAGAATTCTTCAAAGGTACAATTTTTATCACGATTTTTATCTAAACACAAAGGGATCCTCGGTGGGAATCGAAATAATTTTAATTTTTCGCTGTGCATGTTAAGTAGATTCTCAACCGAAACGTGGTTCGTTCTCTTTCCCATTGATTTTTTGTTTTTCTATTTCGAATTAAAAATAAATATTTGGCAAATAAGATTTTGGAGGATTTGAGAAATGGTGAACATTTGCGAAAACAACTCCGTACTGGTACTAGGATGTTTAAAAATGGCGACGAGGTGCTTGATGGGGGTAATTTAGACCAGTTTCTCCAAATTAAATGGTTTTGCTTTTCTTTTCTATGGTTTATGTTTTGGTGTATTGACCACTTATTTTCTGGTCGTTGCTTTAATAAAGCTCAGTAGATGGGCATGATCAGTGGTTTGTAGCTCGGCACTTGTATGGGTTATTTTACATGGCAGTATTCTAGTTATGAATTTGATGCTGAAAAATGTATGTAGGAAAGGAATGGTGAGATGTATGCAGAAATGTCTTTGGAGAGAATGGAATGAATGTGGGAATGATAAAAATGAGAAATTACTAAGAATTGTGATTCACTTCCTAGCCCACTCCTGTATAATCAAATGCCGCTAAGTTATTTGAAAATATTACCATCTAGACAAAGAAAAGAATTGATACTTATATACGGGAAATGCTTTACCTGCCTTTGAATGCTTGATGATGTATCAGTTTAATGAATTCCTGATGGAAGGAAAGGGATGTAGCATATGTTGAAGAATTTGGATGCTGCCACAAAGTTCAAGATTACATTATATTTTAACTGCCTTGCTTATTATTGCGGGCTTTCAGGATAATATTGAGACCATTGATAGAATGATAGCTGCTGGTGAAGTAACCTACAATAAGTGGCAGCATCCTGATCCTTACATTGGTAAGTTTTATTGGAGCATGTTGACCCTTACAATTAGGCGGATTTCAATCATGTGATGAAAACATACAAAATTAAAATGACATGAACTGAAGAAGAGAACAGAACTTTTGTTGCATCTGTAAGAGGTTTTTTCTTTCAAATGGATTATACTTTTCAAAAATTCTCTGAATATATGACTTTATTTCATGAGCCATGTCCTTGGGGAAAGTTTATTTAGGCACTGTTTGATCTCCATTGTTTTAGAACTCTTTTTTCTATAGGATGAATTTTAACCACACATTTATATAATAAAATATTCTGCACGTAAATCCAAAACTTTTTCTTATTTTTTAACCACACATTCTTCCAAAAAATACTATTCAAAAGTCTTTGCAATGGAAATAATGGCCACCAAACAGGGGCTTAATACTGTTAAACTCTCATTTTACTAAGTCCTCTTTTTGAATAGCTTAGCTTTATGAATGATCTCCTTTGTAATTTTATGTAATATTATTGTAATTTAGATCTGAAGATTTGGCGTTGATACTCCCTGTTAATTTTCTTCCCTCTTTGAACACTTGTTTGGGTTCATGTCTTTCGTTTAAGTATATCTGTGCATCGTAGGATAGGTATATGGATCCTCAAGGATAGATGAAAGAGAGACAAAAAGGAAAATGGCATAAACACTATTATTCACATTACTTAATGTGAGAAGAAAATCTTTCAATTTTTGTCTAATTTTAAGTTTCAATTATTGAAACATTCTCAAATTTTACCTGTCTTACAGTTTCAACTTTTACTTTTTCCTGTTTATAGTTGCATCAATGCTGAGACAATATTGTGCGATGGATTTATGTTGTTCATCAGTTTAACTTGGCTCGTTCTGCTCGAGGCTCACTTTCTTTTATGTGAACAGTTCCCTGGGCTCCTGGTGGCTCCAAGTTTTGCCGTAACCCAACTCCACCTGAGGGGGTAATTAATTGAAATTTTATTTTCTATGATGCTTTTAGTAACTTTTTCTTAATACATGCTTTGGGTATCTGGTTAGATATTGTTCTTTCCTGTACTTGGAATAACAGCCTAATTATTAAATTTGCTATTATGCATTGCTTCCACTCCCTTTTGCTATTTATTTAGAAAATCAATGATACCTACTCTTCCTTTTTCTATTGTATTTATAAATTGAGATTACACCTTTCCGTTTCTCTCATCTTATCTGATCGGTCACGAGGACAACTTAGATTTTGAATAACTATACCTAACAGATCTTAATTTGTGAGTTCCAACCTTTACATTCAGTTAGGCATGTTTATGGTTGAGATTTATGAACATGCACATATGCCTTTGATCTAGTTATGTTTTGTTTCTGACAAATATGGGTATGCACGTGTGCCTCTAGTCATGTTATGGGGGACTTCGGTGAGTGGGCGGATGGTGCTGGTGGGGTTGTAGAATTGAAGGCAACAACTTCAGTTTTTTAACATCAATGTTGTTGGGTCAAAACCAGTTGATATACCCGGTAAATGGTGTACAGTTCCCTTTTTCCATTCATATCCCTATCTTCCAAGAAATTAAGCAGAAATGTTAGTAGTTCTTGCAAGTGTAAAATAGAAGTCTGTTTCCTCTCTGATGGCATTACCAGATGGGGGAGTTACTTCAAGAATCAGATGACCATATCGTTACGGTAATTTCATGTCTGAGAATTTTCTCTCTCCTTTTTGGGATAATGTTTACGCTTTGTAAATATAAGCACGGTGCAAATTTCTTTCCCCTTTTCCATCTGCTTGTAAAAATTCATGCAGTGAAATCTCGCAAGTCCTTTGAGCTTGTGGCATTGAGAGATGGTGTCTTTTCTACCTGCTTGTAAAAATTCATGCAGTGAAATCTCTTGGTCCTTGAGGTTGTGACATTGAGAGATATTGTTGAGAGGAGAAGGGATAGATTTTTCTCTTTCTTCGAAACTTATATAATTTTCAATCAGATACTTCCTTTCATGACATTGTTATCTGTCTTTAATGTATTCCTCCTAGTCTAGTGCAAGTTGTGCTTTCACTTGTATTTGGAGGGAATCAAATTGCTTTGTACGGCGTTACTGTTTTTCATGTCTCTCATGATATATACTTGTAGAGCCATCTGGTTTATAGGGTCTGTTTGAGCCACATTATTTCAAAAAAATACATTCTTAAGCAATGATTTGACATCATTTCAACCACACATTCTTCAATAAAATAATATTACACGCAAATAAAAAAAATTTCCTTATTTTTTAACTGCACATTTTTCATCGATATACCATTCAAGAATGCATTATTACCAAAATAATGTTGCTCAAACACCCCCATAGTAACTTTTTTGTTGCTGGTGCAAATTGAAATAATATACGACTATGGTTGAGAAGATACTGCTTAAATTATGATGGTCTTCATGGAAATAAATAAAGGTCAGTGTCATGGTTGGTCTTTATTATTAATAATATCTTTTCTGTTTTAAGTACATCAAATTTCACGGAGTTAGCCTTATTCCATCTTTATAAGACAGGTCACACGAATCCTTTGCCATTCAGATTTGTCTTGGGAAATGAACTGTTGAAAATTATTACATGAACATTGGTGGCATATGTGCTACTTGCGACTTCCATTTATTTGTATTTGTAGATAATATTAATTTGTTTACTTGATAATTTAGATATATCTGGAGGTTTTCCTCCTCATCGAGTGGTGGAGGGTCTGTTTTTTGAAGCTTTCCCCTTTCTCTTTTAAGGATCATGCTACATGTACATTAAGATTTACATAAGAGATTACATAATTTTTACATGTTACTCTACCATTTGTCAGTTTAATATATAATTAACTTTTACATCCAATCTTTTCCCTCCACATCATTTTGATAACTGTTTATGTACCATTTTTATGTACAAGTAGCAAAATCCTTTGAAAAAAACATGGTTTTGTAGATCTTGCAATTATCTAATATGCTGATGATTGATTACAGATGCAGATTTGAGAGAGGCGTAAGCATCTGGGAGAACTTTCCGTTTAATCTTGTTTGTCTTGGTTGGTTTGATGTCAAAAGAAAACCTTCTGAACTGAAATCTTGTTCTCTATTTGGTTTGATTCACAAAATCAAGGTGTTTCTTGGTTGACCAAATTCAGAGTTTAATTGATTTCCAGTTTTGTCTATTAAAGGTAATCTTTTATATTCTAACCAAATCGTGCATTGAATTCAAGCATCACATTTTTACAAAGCATTTACCCTCTCTATCTTTTGGTATCTAAAAAGTCGAATAGAATTCGTAGAGCATGGATGTTAAGTGCTAATGGATCCAATACACACTCTAAAATTTTGTTTGATTCTGCTGCTGGTTTATTAGAAGTTAGGGTCTATATTTAAAATAAAGTTATTTGTACAATTATTGTTGACAATCCACGTGTTGTCAAGATATGTTTGGTTGATTTAAAAAACTGTTTTTAAAATGGATGGTGTAGATTTTGCTAACTCATGATTCACGTAACTATAATTTTGAGGTGTCAAAATCTTAGTGAAATATAAAGAATTTTTATTTTTGTAATTTTTCAAATATGTGGCTCCATTGTGTTAATTGATGTATTTTTTATTTTTTTTTTATTTCTTTTGAGAAACTTTAATTTCTATTTTTATTTCAAACTGTGCAATGTTTTGTGTAGTATTAAATGAATATCTAGAAGTCCAGACTTCAGAGTGCTTTTGTGGAAAGAGAAGCTAGTTGAACACAAGGACAATTGTGAAAATTTATTTTCAAATGCCTTAAATTAGTACGTCCTAGTCAAAATTGTCAGAATAAATGAGAATGGCTTTCCAATGGCCAATTTTCTTCTGAAAATGAGGTGAAAAAGCTGGCCCAAATAGGTCTTAAGGCTCAATTTAATGGAAATTACGTGGAAGCTTACTTTTAAAAATTACATTTCGAAAATCAGATTCAAGGTTTGTTTATATAATAATATAATTTTTAAATAGTAATAATAATCTTATAAAAATAATTTAATCTACATAATCACCCCCACCCCATCCAACCCAAACCCTAACATTAACCATAAATCTTTTTCCATTTCTATTCTCTTTATCTATCTTCTCCGTCGTCTCTCTTCTATTGCTGTCGAGAGACCCACCTCCAGCACATAGCAGGTGATGACACACACAGCAGCATTGTGCACAACGACAACAACACACAACGTTGCTTTAGCAAGTCAGCAACTGCGAACAGCAGTGTCGTCAAAAGCCATCGGAAGCCATAGCAGTAACGTCGCGCACAGCGAGCAATGACAATGCTATTGTGTGCGGCATTGCTGCAGCAATTGTGCGCCCTTGCACATAGTCCCTCTTGAAACTACCGTTCTTTATTCTTCCATTCGTCGATGCTGTTGAGGCTACAGTAGTTGCGCTGGTGCTATTGAGGTGGTGGTGACGACAATGGTGTTGATGCCAATGGAGTGGGATGGGTGGGAAGAGGGGTGCTGTGTGAGCAATATATGGTTGATTGTGACCATTAAATAAACTGTGACCAATAATTTGGTTAATTTGTGATGAAGAAATAATATGCGACCTAAAAAATATTATTGTGATTTATAATTTATTAAGTTGTGATCGAGAAATTATTTGTAACCAATTCATTCGATAATTTGTGACTATTAAATAAGTTGTGATTTTTTAACCGATGAATAAATTGTAAACTATAACATTTTTAATTTGCGATCGAGAAATAATTTTTGACCTATAATTTTTTGATCCCTGTCCAAGAAATAATTCGTGACTAAGTAATTCAACAATTGTGACCTTAATATATTTAATTAATAAAATATAATTTTAATTAATTATTTGATAAATAAAATTTAATTAATATATGATTTTTGAAGTTTTAAACATTGTTTCTTAATTTAAAAATAGATCATACATAATCTCTTACATATGAAATTTCCCCCTGAATTTATTTGTTGGTATAGAAAAACTCAACATACAGAAACAGACAGCATTGCCTAAAAAAGAATTCACATTTGTTTCCCACTAAATATCAACAAATTTTCATTTTTATTTTTGCATGTTTCCATAAAGTTAATGAAATAACAATAAACAATATTAATGAACATCATGACGGAAGATAAGATGTAACAAAATAACATCATAATACATGTAGTTACTCAATATTACGTGTTCTACAACTCGACAAATCTAACAATAGCTGTTTTTCCACAAACATCATTAACATACCACATAATGAATGCTAAAAGAATTTCATGGTGAAGAAGAAGAGAACTGTTCAAACCTGATTCATTCTTTCACACTCTGTTTTCCATCAAGCATTGCAATACAACATGATTAAAAGCTTGTATCTTAGTCAGCTCTCGATTGGCCAGCTCGTGACGACAAAAGAATTTCAACAATGAGGCCATAAAGGGCCAAAGCTTTAGCAAAAATGAAAATCAGAATGATCCCAAGAAAAAGCTTCGTTGTTGTGCATTAGCGCTACAACATAGTTAAAAAACTGATATGAAGGCTGGTTTAAAAGTTATTTCTCCCAGCCTAGTATTCTTCATATTTATAGATGGATTACAAGTATTTGAAAATAACAGAAAGATACAATTAGGAAGTTTGTTTAGATATTCTAATATCATCTGATCTTGAGTCCTTGATCTCATTCTCTTCATTTGAATTCAAAATCTGTGAGTTATCTTTAATAACAGAAATGGATATATCTCTAACAGCCCCCTTCAAGCGGATGGGAAGATCATGAACCATTAGCTTGTCTCGAAGTAAGTCAAAACGTGATGAAGAGAGTCCTTTTGTGTAGATGTCTGAAGGTTGTGCTATAGTTGAGATGTACTTAGCTTGGATATCTTTGTTATAGATCTTTTCACGAATAAAATGGTAATCTACCTCTATATGCTTGGTTCGAGCATGAAAAACTGGGTTAGAGGACAATGCTAGAGCACTAATATTGT